ATACATATTTATTTAGGAAACTCATGTATACGCTATGTACAGGAGACATTTACTGCCACTTATGGTGAAATTTTTTTGTTTTGAAAATGTTGTGAGCGGATGTCGAGTCATAAAATATCTTTTTAATGGAAATTTATTGTATTTTCTTTTTCCAGTTCATATTGTTTTATTTTTTCGGTATCAAGAAAATGCGCTTTCACTCTTACTGCCAGCCCTGAAGACGTACAAACAAAAATTTTATATTAGGTAAATCCAATTGCGGGAGAGCTTGGATTGGAGTTGTTACAAAATAATAATGGGAAGTGGAAGAGGAAGATCAAGGGCAAGAGGAAAATGAAAAGGAAAAGGAAGAGGAAAAGGAAGAGAGAGAGGAATAGGAAGAGGAAGAAGAAGAGGAAGAAGAAGAGGAAGAGGAAGAGGAAGAGGAAGAGGAAGAGGAAGAGGAAGAGGAAGAGGAAGAGGAAGAGAAAGAGAAAGAGAAAGAGAAAGAGAAAGAGAAAGAGAAAGAGAAAGAGAAAGAGAAAGAGAAAGAGAAAGAGAAAGAGAAAGAGAAAGAGAGAGAGACAGGGAAAGAGAAAGAGAAAGAGAAAGAGAAAGAGAAAGAGAAAGAGAAAGAGAAAGAGAAAGAGAAAGAGAAAGAGAAAAAGGAAGAGAAAGAGGAAAAGGAAGATGAAGAGGAATATTTATGTCTTCTATTTTAATTTAATTAGCCTAGAGGTCACCATTGGGTACTTGTATGGTTCGAGTCCTAGTTTGACGAACATCCAAGGTTAACAAACTTTTTTTTTTGTTGTCAAACAGCAAGTGCCATACCACACATTGGTAAAGAAGCTCGGCCAAGGCTTTTATCGAAAAATCATCTTAACTGATGGGCCTCATTTCCACCTCGATGGCGACGTCAATTAGCAAAACTGTCGCATCTGTGTCTCGAAAATCCCAAAATACAAAAGCCTCCCTCCTCAACGTGTAACAGTTTGGTGCGGACTGTGGTTCGTCGGTGTAATTGGGTCCTACTTTTTCTAAAATGGGACTGAAGCAGTAGTTACGCTGAATTGATTGCCCTATCGAAATTAATGACTTTTTTTGACCGGAATTGAAAGGTATTGACCTGAACGTTTACTTTCAACAAGTCGGCACTTTGTCCCTCTCAATCTCCGTCAAGGGAAAATGTTCCGGACCGTGTTATCTCTCGAAGAGGTGATCGCTATTGGCCACCGAGATCTTGTGATTTAACACCTTACGACTTCTTTCTTTGGGGCCACGCGAAAGCTAAGGTATACACCATCAGATCAACGTCGATTCAAGACCTCAAAGATGGAATTCGTGAAGCTATTAATGGCATATCTCCTCTCCCTCTTTACATTGATAAACATCCGTTCATTTATCTAAAAAAAATTTATTTTTTCTTTGAATATCAAAATAATACCTCTTATTGGAAAACCCTGTGGAATACTTGAGTTCAGGGAAAGGGCTCACAGATTGATGAAAATTGGTAGTAATTGGTGTTAATGTTATGAAGCGTACCTTAGATCTGATTTGAGGTGTTTGGCCAACTTCGAGGTATTCGTATACGTTTTCCTGGCAGACTTTGTGAAGCAAAAAACTGACTAACCTCTTCTACTTCCATGAGTTGGCCACTGTAATACATATTTAAACGCCAAACATGCCATAATCATGTGAATGTAGTCACTATTATAATGAAAAATTTAATTTTTGCCTGACTTGAAACTTTATTAGCTTTATTAATAGATGCGAGGGAAAAGAGTACAATAATTAAAAATTAATTTCCTGAAACTGTGAATATCCGTCTGATCAAGATTTCAACTTATGACAATTCGATTTATGATACGCAATGTTAATTACTCCATTAATGCGACGGCCAATTATTTATATATTATAATGACATTTGCATTATTCTACAATATAAAATAAAATTTCTCCGCAGGTAACACCCTCCGTCCCACATGCAGTGAGTGTTACAGAATTCTCCGTCGATCCCATAGCCAGCCTTTTTTTATTCTTTTTCATTGAAAAAAATTCTGCCTTACCCTTGTTATTGTCATTAAGTGATTTGAAAGTTATAAAAAGGTCGTAATCTAACTTCGAACTAAAAGGCGATGAAACTAGTCACTCAAATCTTTATATATTTTTACTTTTCTACTAAAAAAGATTCACCGAACCGTAAAGGACAGTGGTACGTGTTGTAAATCTATTTTTGTTTTGTTCCCTTTTTGTTTGTTTGTTCCTATACAAAGCGCGTACAGCAGAGATTTATAGCGATAAGAGAAGGTGTCGGCGTTTGCTGGCGTTTAATAATAAATAAATACAAATAAAGGAAAAGAAACAACTCAGCATACTTACGCTTTAGCGCTTTGCCACCGCCGAAGCGCTTTTCGGCTCCTCTTCCAACTTGTGGCTTTGCGTCTTAATGTTTTCCGAACAAATGAGGGCACCTACAGTTTATACTAAGCTGCCTCCGAACGGCTGATGGTTTTTTTTTACGATGAACCTTTATCTCATGTCTGAAATACACTCTGAGGGGTAAATATTCCCTGCCGAGGAACGACCGCAATTCGAAAATTTTACTTAATTTTTTACTTAAATAGTTTATCTATAACTTTTGGATGTTATTCGTACCAGGATTTGAATCCGGGCCTTCCGAATAGCAGTACGCAAAGCTAATCACTCAGCCAAATATTATCCTTCAAGGCGTCAATTGTTTCGGGCTTATCTGCGTAGACAAGTGGCTTCAAATAACATCACAAAAAATGGTCCAGCGTTAAATTGCACGATCTTTCGCACGATTATTTCGTTGCCTGTGTAGTATGTAGCGCCGTCTTATTGGAGCCAAAAAAGTCAGTAATCATGGCTGTATAGTCTTCCCCATTAGCTGTAACATTATGTCCGGCACATTATGACCAATGATTCCATCTGCCCACAGAGCACGCTAAACAGTGACTTTCTGAGGATGAACCGATGTCTCAAAAATGGTTGTCTCTTGTGGGTTACTACCATCACTCAATGCTTTAATTTTGTTTATAAACAAACGTGTCCATTCAACAACATGAAATCAACTTCATCGCTAAATAATAATTTTTTGTGAAAACCGTTTTGGGACCATTCACCGAACGTGCGATACGCTTGATGGTCGTTCGACTTCAATTCTTTCACTAGTTGGATTTTGTAAGTCTGCAAACCAAAATCTTCCATAAAGGGAATGAACCCAACTCCAATTGATGCGCGCGCTGGAGGATGGATTCATACGAATCTTCCGATCCATGGTTGCTCGAATTACCGAGTCTGTTGAGCGCGAAATAAAAGGTAGCCCAAGAACTAAGCATGACACAAAAATAAGTTGGATAACTCAAAGAAAGTTGGTTACACCAAGAAGGATGTAGGGATGCCACATAAGTTATAGAGGAAAAAACTTATGGTTCGAATTTTCGTCTGCGAATCGCTGCATAATCGTAGCAAAATCGAGCCAGATGGTGACTCTTGATGAAAAATAAATCACTTGCAGCTACGTCAAATGAAAACGATCCTGGTCGTAGGACAGTGAGTCCTCACATAAGGTCTTCAGGCCAGGATAGGTGGTCAGGAAGGTTTCCTTATGTGCTTAGCGGGATTGGCAAGGAATTATTCACTACGAGCTGCTCCCCTATGGGCAAGCCTTCAATTCGGACTGGTATTGTCAGCGATTGGATCATCTGAAGGAAGCAATAACAAACAGGAACCGAATAGTGTTTCATCCGGACAACGCCAGAGCACTCACATCGACAATAACTTGCCAAAAGCTTCAAAAGCTCAGAAAGCTTGTATAAGAGGGAACAGATCTTAATGGTAATACTATCGAAACGGCAAAAGGTGATCGAGCAAAACGTTGCATATTAGAGATAAGCCAGAGAATCCCAACTGTAGTAAATAAAGATTTCAATATAATGCAGAATTAATTGCCTAAAAAAAGATGATTTTTGAGAATTTTTATTAAAAAAATACTTTATCAATTATTTCAAAATTTTAAGAATACATTTATGCACGTTTCTAGAATATAGAGTGAAATTTTGAAGAAAAAAATTAAATATTTTCTAATTTATAGTCGATCTCCAACGGCCTTCTCTGTGGATGAAATCTAAGAAAAAAAATCTATACTAGATAATATTGCCTGTACAATGACCTACGATAAAAAAAAACAAAAATTGACAATATGGCGGCGTTTAAAAAAAATAGTCGAATTTTACCTAAAATTTTGGTCGTTTTTGGCCTGCCAAAATTCGATTTTTTTATCAGATCAAAAATCGATAGGTCATTGTACGGAGAACTGTATATAGAACATGTAAAAAAAAATTCGATAGGGATCGGATCATTTGTTTTTGAGTAATCACTGCAGCAAATTCGGAAAATGCTGTTTCGAGAAAAACGCATTTAAAGATAAAATACCTCAGATACGTCTCGTAGCTAATGAGACTCTCTAGCTGCCGAGCGGCTGCTATTTAAATTGCTATAACTCAAAAACTATTTGAGATATCGGTTTGAAATTTTAATATGTTATTTTTAAAGGTGTAGTCTACCGAAATATGAAGAAAAAGATAGATTTTTTTTTTTAAATTTCACACTAGGTGTGCCCCTTAAGGGATTATTTTTTTCGTATATATAAAATAAAGATGTATTATGCAGACGCGGTTTAAATCCTGGTACGACCAACCTCAAAAGATATAGAAAATTAATTTAAGACAAAAAATTAGGTTAAATTTTATAATTGCGGTCGCCCCTCGGCAGGGAATGTCCACCCCTCCGAATATACACGTACTTCTCACATGAAATAAAGGCACCTCCTAAAATCCCTTAAGAGAGGGCTTTGTTGGAAAAACATCAAGACGCAAAACAACATATTACATATATATATATATATATCTATGCATAGTCTTCCTGACAAGTGTTTACATAAGTCAATCAAAATAGGTATCTATGTAAATATATATACTGTTATTTGACTCACTTACCTGTTATTTTGTTCGTTGTTAATAAACCACTTTCACACAGGATCAACAGATATTTAATTAGTAGATGAACTAAGATGTTGTGTTTTAGCAAACACATTGCCATCAAAGTAATTGATATCGCCCACGTCGTTGATTGCGTCGTTAATGACTTATAGAGCGTTTTCACCCGCACCAATTGGGCGGTGCCAGTGTGCCGATTTAGGCGCCACAATTGGGCAATGCTGTTGTTATTACATTAAAAACTATATCTGTTAGCGGTATTCGGTTTTTATATATATAATTTAATATTATAACTAAATACATATGTATATACAAATATATGCTCTTTTGTTGTAGTTGTTGCTTTTTAGTTGAACTTTCCTTCAGTCTGTTCTCGAAAAATTACTTCTTACTTTTGACACAGCAAACTTTATTGAAGAGTTATACAAGTATTTCTCCTTTATTCCACCGTTTTGTTGCGAATTATAACATTTTTACCATATTTTTTTTCATATTTTCGAACTTTTGCTTGCTTTTTCTATGCTTTTTTCACTTTCATATACAATCGTTTTGATTAATCGTTGTTTCTTGTTATTGATTTATTTTCTTGCACACGAATCGTATTTAACTTTTTTTATTTATTTATTTTTATTTTTTTACTTCTTTATTGTTTTTTTTTTTATTTTTTTTATTTTTAATAACCAAAATGAGTAATTGTATCAAAATGAACTTTATTGCCCTCACCAGCGAGTATATTTAGAGTATCACTCTCCTGGCTCTCCTTATTTGAGGCGAAGTAGGAATGTTGCGTCACCAGCTGACAGCTGAAAGGAAGAAGAAATATATTAATCGCATAACTATACAGTTAGGATACTTAGGAGCCTTAAATATTACAAAATATGTTGAAACTAAAAGCAATTGGTTTGTACTAAGCCACGTGTAATGGAGTGTAGTCAAGCTTCTAGGTATGGAACAAGAGTCGCGGGGATATAATCAATTTCTATTGCTGCGTCCACATCGCGCACCCAGGAAACGTAAACCCTTGAGCAAGATGTGGTAAACAACCTGCTTGGAGCCTTGGGTCACGGCCAAAAGAGAGGAAATTTCAGCTAAGACACTCCAAAATATACGGTTTATGGGTTCGGGGAACTCTAAATTTAGTGTCTGCGGCTGCGAGCGAGCCTGGGTCTTGAAGCAATCGGCTTACTATATAAATGTATCCAAAATTTACTTCACACTTGCGCGTTTGTATGCTGGGCTTGGAACCTGCTACACAAAAACCAACTCCAATGAAAAGCAATACAACAGTTCGGAAGAGATACCTTTCTTTTGATGACGACAACTGCGAAAGTATTAAGGACCACGATTTGAAGGTATGCCCTGGTTATTGTCCTGTTAAGAATAAAGGCAGGCATCACCACCGTCCAAGATTTGCGATGGAGGAGACAACGACGGAAACGAGTAACTCCTAGTGACATTTTCTACGGCGGTCATATAAAGCAGCGCAAATTTGGTATCGGATGCGTGATGGAAGAAAGACCCCGTCACCGAATACTGGCATTCACACCGGTGAATAAACGTTTCGCCACAGTCCAAATCAAAGCGAATTTGGGATTTGCGCCCAAGTCACGAGTGAAGAAAAGAACAATATGATCAAGGATGGCTCTTATGAGCGCTTTGAGCGTACTCTTGAGCTTAGCGACTTAAACGCTCATTGAGAGCACTCAGCAGAAAAGGTTGAGAGCTGGCCGGCAAGGTAAATGCTCTAAAATTCTATGAAAAGATGCTTCAACTTACAGAAGGTTTTAAGACCTAAGCAGACTCATGTAGGACACAACCAATGCCCAGAGCACATTGAATTTATTGAGGAAATACATTTCCAGCCTGCTGACTGACAATGAAAGAGCAAAACAAGGAGATGACGAGCCCGATTCGATGAGATGGAATACTACTATGAAGAAGTTCGAGTAGCAAATCGGCGGGGAGTTATTCAAATGCGGCGGTGAAGAATTGATAAGGTGCAGATATCAGCCTTTTTTGCAAAAAATTCTATGGATGAAACCATACGATTGGTGTGCTCACAGTCTGCGCCAATTACCTTAAATTAAGCCTGCTCAATATGGCCCACAAGGTCTTAACGAGCGTCTTGTGTGAAAGGCCAAATAAAGCCCACTCTCAACAAACTGAGTAGAATTGATCAGTCTGGTTTTAGGCTTGGACAAGAATCTACCTGAACGCCACTAAGTTTGAATTTGGTATCCCGCAAAGCTTATAAGGATGTGAAAATTGACGTTATATAACACCAAAAACTCCGTCGGGATGGCGTAGGACCTCTCCGAGAAGTTAGTTACCGCGTGAGATTTCAAACTCGGGGGTTTAGCCATACACCAAACAGTGAGTGACTAACATGTCACTAATGATAGTTATAACATTGATGTCATAGAATTTACATCTATCTTGGAACCAGCATTTATATCAACAACAATGTCCGACTTGAAATTCAAGATAGAATCACTCTTGCAATCAGGTCCTACTTTGGACTGAGTAGGCAATTGAAGAGTAAAGTCCTCACTCGACAACGAACAAAACTAAACTCTAAAAAACGATTCAGTATTCAGGTGGCAACATCTGATGAGATCGCGTTATAAGTTCTCTAGAGAAAGGTTTGGCATAAGATTTATGGTTCTCTACATTTTGGTAACGACGCAGTCAAGGAAGAGGAAGTCTTGCACTCCATTGGAAAGAGCAGATCAAGATTTACCTGGCTGTAATTGGTATTTGCAATTTGCTCCAAGCAGCGAAAAGAAGGAATAAGTAGTCAACTATAATCACGTTGCCTGCGCCAGTAAAGAAGATGAAGAACACTTAAAAATCATTTTCTGGCCCAAAAATTGGAGACCCTCCCAGCTTAATGTGAACATTTCCATTGTTTTGATCTTGTTCTGATTAACTTTGGCTTAGATTTTGAAGGCTCCAAGTCTCAAGTCTCTGGCGAAATCGGCTTATGGTAGAAAATGTAGAGCATTCAAAAATTTCCATAAAAAATAAAAAAAAAAATCGTTATAATATATAATTTGTAATTATTTACATATGTACATATGTATGTATGTGTAATGTGTATACTATGAAATATGAGCGCAAGACACAATGTTTCCTTTGTTCCTCTCCCACAATCGCATAGTCACCCAATCAGTCAATCATTCCGTAAGTTGAAGGTAAATCTTAAAGATTTATGACAACATAAATATTCATTCCAGCTTCAGCTGCCTTCATCATTAATATACAAAACAATGTTCATAAAATATTTGCAAATATAGAAAATGGATTTAAAGTCATGTAAGAATCTCTGTAAAGAGCAAAAGTTAAGGGTTCAAAATATCCAATCTTTTCACATATTTATTTTTACATACAGATTTTTAGTTTTGATTTGAGTGATGATTCTTTCCAAAGGATAAATTTATACGCAAAACATTTCCGGTTAAGTCTACTTGTTGGAAATTCGATAGTTTTTCCGTTGATACAAAAATTATTCAAGTGCCAGTGTTACAGAGGTGTGTTTCACTACAGCAAAGCAAGTATTGTGGAATATTAAAAAATTCAATCAAAACTAATACTTTTGAAAGACATACATACATAAACTGACATATGTATTTCTTGAGACAGTCATTTGAATTATGGCACATTTAACGTAAGCCATCTACGTGACAAACGATGTTTGGCCTTGCATTTTTAGCATCTATAATTGGGCAGCAAGTCTCCAAAGGTTGCCAGCTATTCTTCCAAAGTGCGGGGCATCCGCAAAAGAATGACTTAAGGTTTTAGGTTTCTCTTCTGCAGAAGTCGTTAGATGTACGTCCAACGTAACTGCGTGACTGTTCAATAGAATATTCCCTGTAAGAACGCCTATAATAGGAGATATCTATTTACCTTTGAGCTCGATAAGGTCACGTGACCTTCTTCTGTTCCATTCTGGTATGTTACTATTGTATGTCCTGAAACCCATAACAGGTTCAAAGAAAACTATTTAGCCATCATTTTAAACGATCTGCGGCAGTTCTCTATAATTTTTTAGATCTTAATGCCACTTGGCATAGATATGAACACGATTTGCGGAGTGCACAATTAAGCTGAGACAATTGAGAGCCTCATGCATAGTCACCAATGCCGCCTGAAAAGCACCACAGCAAGCAAGATCCCTTGAGTAAACTTTGTCACCGAACCTGTTATCTAGCTTGGATCCATCCGTATAAAAATGAGTCCAGGCGGTGTTTACTGGTATTAACCTTTAACTACCTTGAAATCTGTCGTAAAGTCATTGAATGATAGGCAGTAGTCGATTTTTTCTTTCCGATGAAATCTTCTTAAAAAGTTAATGTGGCCGGCAGTATGTAGCCTCTTATTATCAATGGGTAGTAGAACCGAGAGAGCATTCATAGCCTCAGTTGGTGTGGCACGAAGTCCTCCGCTGATACACAGGCGCGCTATTCTCAGCACTCTATCGAATTTAGAGTTGGTTGATTTTCTTTTCTATATGTTAATACTCTAATACATCTCATCAATTCTTTCAAGTTTGAATCTTTAAACAGGTGGCAACAAATTTTGGTCTAAGTCTTTTTTAACTCTTTAGTTTGGTGCCCAAATTGCAAAATATCACTTTTTTTAAAGCATATTACAATTTTAATTTTCAGTATTGGTGGCAACTCTGCTGAATTGAAATTTAAATCTAAATCAATTTTGAGGCCAATTGAGCTCACACTAAAGCTTTCATCAAAGCAAGCGCAGCCATGGATGGCAACTCTGCTGAGTTATAAATATACATATGATAGAAAAATTCTATAAGGTAGTTTCATTTCGAAATTTTTGACACCCAGAATATTTTGATCTTGCTAAAATAAAATTATAAAATATTCAGCTTGGCGATTTTTCATTGCTATTTGGGATATCTTCTAGGCGTATATATGTATTAAAATATTATATCAAAAATATGTTTCAAGCCGTCTTTTTTAGGCAGCAGAAATAAGAAAGCTAATTTCTGGATATTTTTATTATAAATAAATGGGAAGACTTTACATTTTTTAATTTTTTTGATAAACTTGCATTCCTAGATTTTTTCGCGTGTATAATTAATGTCCAAGTCTCGGGTTCCTGGTCTAAGGGACTTTCGAGGGAACTGTGAGGCCGATGAGAACAGTTATAGTTCTGGTAAACTTTGTACATGACGTGGGCATACCTCTGTTAAGGTTAAACTTCACCAGAACGACCAACAGCAGATGACGGTGTGACACCACCACTGGTCATCGATCGAAGTGAACAGAACTAATTCTTCTCTACTTCTAAAGAGTACTTCTATGAACATAATAACTTTCGAAATAACCGAACACTGTATTATTGGAAATCATGATAGAAAAGAACGGACCAGCAGTGCTAAGTGAGCTTGGTTCTTTCTTCGATCGAGCAACCTGTTTAACTAACCGATTGACTACATTTACGAACTTCTATATAATTATCGGTTAGATTGAATTTAAATGTTTTGGAAGACACGAAAAACAAACAATTATTAAAATAATATCCTGTCTGCTTACAAAATTTTGAACTGCATTCAACCGTACAGGTAGATATGCATTGCAAGTCCCGCTGGCTCCTAATTTTCTTGCATTCATTTTGAATTTTCTTGAGCTAACATATTTTACCCCTCCGAGTGTATTTAATGTAAATAAAGCTCCTCATAAAAAACCATCAGCCGTTCGGAGGTGGATTAATATAAACTGCAGGTCTCTTCATTTGTTAGAACAACATGAAGATGCAAAACCACAAATTGGAGGAG